AGGAGATACGCTCTCAAAGGTCCAATGATAAAAAATATTTTGTTCAAAATCTATATAGATCTTTGAAATTGAAAGTATCTGACACAAAGGTAAATGCCACAATGGTCTAGCAATATAATGATATCTTCCCCATAGAATTTAATTTTTTAGTATACTATAATGTATTCATATCATATAATGATATTGGACTTCGGAGTTTTATGATGTCCAATACTTTGCCTTTTTATTATTTTTTTATTTTTTAAAAAATTTATTTATTTATCTTTAGAGGGGAAGGGAAGGAGAGAGGGAGAGAAATATCAATGTATGGTTGCCTCTCATGCATCCCCTGCTGGGAACTGGCCTGCAACCCAGGCATGTGCCCTGACTGGGAATCGAACCATGACACTCTGGTTCACAGGCCCACGCTCAATCCACTGAGCTACACCAGCCAGGGCTTGCCTTTTTAAAATTCTTATAATTGTACTGGGAGATATATGGCACCATTCCTGACTTCCATTGAAACACCAAGAGTTTGAGGGGCCTAGCAGACCAGAAGCTGAACATAGATGGTTAATATACTGAATAACATGGTCATTAAGAAGATAGCCATTAACGGATAGGCAGAGTGACAGGTGAAAATATTTGGACAGAGATGCGTAAGACGAAATTGGGCTCAAGCAATGTTTTCAGCTCACTGTTGCAGTCAGTCTGCCTAGTGTATCTTCTCATCTAGAGTAGTCGTTTTTAAGGTTAGCAGAAGGAGTGTACTATAATCTCAGATCCAGTAGATACTTTCTTGCCTGGACACATGAAAGTACCTTTGGAGAGAAAGGATGGAGTGTCTTAACAAAAGTACTTCTTGCCAAAAATCATACTATTTATTTGGAGTTGGATGACTGAATGTTCTTTTTCTGTGGTACACCCAGAAAAGAGGTGTATGGACACCTTGTTCACACATTGTTCTGGTAAGTTTTGACCCTTCTCAGGTTGAGATATTCTGTGCTCTAAACTAGCATAATGATGTTATTGCAATTAGTTTTAAAAAATGCCAGTGTTTTCTCAATTAAAATTTTCCTCTCTGTAATGCATCGGTGATTTCTTACTGTTCACTGATGTGCTACCAGTTCCCAGAAGATTGCAGCTTAGACACTCAGGAATACTTACTGACATGAACTCGCTTGTGTGAGGGCTACGCATTGACCAAATGGAGAAGTAGTAGACAAATATTGCCAGGAAGAAAGTAAGAAATGGCTTCTGTTTTCCTCACTGGGCTTTTGTTGGAGGGCTTAACATTTTTTAATAGTTTATTGGCTTAGTAGTTAAATGTTCCGCTAATAAACTATTCCACTTGTTAAGACAAAGTTAGACAAATCACCGCTTTACCATGTATCCCCCAAACCCATGGAACCTAGGTGTTTCATGGCTTAAACAGGTTAGTAAACTCTGCTGGAAGGAGGAAAGGGGTGAAAGAAATGGAGGAAGATGAGTAGATGATCATACCCATGACTCAGAGAGGTGCCTTATAGATATCATCTCATATAATCTCATGCTCCGGCTGAGTAGCTCATTTGGTTAGAGCTCCATCCTGATATGCCAAGGTTGTGGGTTCAATCACCCGGTCAGGGCACATACAAAAATCAACCAATGAAGGCATAAAACAACACACTGATATTTCCATCTCTCTCTCTCTCTCTCAACAAAGAAAAGACAACAATAACAAAAAATCCTGTGCAATTTTATCCCCCTTTAGAGACAGGAAGCAGAATGCCAGGTGCCCCGCAATCCTATAATCCCACCACCTGGAAGTTATGGAGGAGTATTTGTACCCAGGTTTATGTCGCTGCTCCCCAAACCTGCTTGTTCTGGGCCCAGATTCTTGCCTGGAAACTTGGGATGGCCACTCAGTCTTGTTCTACAACCTAACAATAACGAGGGGAGAGGATAAGCAAACTAAATATTAGTTGAGGATGAGTAAACCCATACTTTTCAAATAAACTGCAGCATATTCAAAGATATGCAAGTATACACGTATAACTCACTGAATTCAGACCAGTCTTCTGTCCTCACTACTGAACTTAATCTGGCCTTGTTAAGGTTGCCAGTGACCTCCTGTTGCTAAATCCAGTGGCAGTTTTCAGTGGTTTTCCTACTTGATCTACCATAGCATTTGAAGCAATTTTTCTCCTTCCTCCTCAAGATACTTTTTTTTATTTGGCTTCCAAGACACCACACTTTGCTGTAATTTTCTCCGATTCCCAGGGCCACTCTCTCCTCATGTCCTGTACTGATCTCTCCTCAGTCTGCTGAGGACTGCCCAGGATTCAGGCCTCAGACCTCTTCTTCCTCTGTCTACATCATTCACCATCTAATTGCCTGAGTTTAAATGCCTGCTATATGCTGATCACTCCCAACTTTCTACCTCCAGGGAAGACCAATTTTCTCACTATATTCTCATATATCCAGTTGCCTACTTGGCCACTAAACTGTCTAATGGGCATCTCACACTTGATCTATTTAAAATTAAGCTCCAGACCATCTACCTAAAACCTATTCCTCTCATAATTTTCCATATCTTAATAAATGGCAAGTCCAACTTTATAGTTCACCTTGGCATGATTCTTGATTTCTTTTTCTCTTACCCTACCTATTTCCACTGCATCAGCAAATCCAGTCAGCTCTTCTTCTAAAATATCTCCAGAATCTGCTTACCCCTCACTATCCCCACTGTTATCACTCTAGTCTAAACCACCAGAATCTCTAGTCTCTTGTAACAGGAGATTCCTAACTGGTCTGTTTCTTTCTGCCCATGACATCCTACAGCCTATTCACACAGCAGCAAGTGATTGTTCCAAAATATGGCATATTGTCATTCTTTGCTCACCATTCAGTGACTTGATTGTCACCTTAAAAGAAAACTGAAAGCCTTTTACCAGGTCCTACAAGGCCCTCTAGAATTTGTTCCCCAACACCTGGACTGGTTAACTCTCTGATCTCTTTTCCTACTCTGTCTCCCTTGGCACTAATCTCCAGACGCAGTGGGCCCGTTGCTGTTTTTTCCAAACCCCAGAATGTTTCCACTTCAAGGTCCCACCGGTGTCGGTGAGGCACACAACCTCATCTCCATCAGGGATTTGCTTGTATGACTCAAGCAAAAAAAAAAAAAAACAAAAAAAAACCATTGAGTTCCTCCCTGCCCCCCATTTAAATTGCTGTTCTTCTCCAAAAGCATTTCCTGATCCTCCTTTGCCAGTGATTTCTTTCTCTCCACAGCCCGTCTCACCACCTGACACGCTCTTCATTTTACTCGTTTATCTTTATTTATCATCCATTTTCCCACTAGGATTAAGCTCTAGGGGGACAGGGATTATCACTTATTTCTCTGTCACCCAGGACAATTCCTGGAATAGTAGCACTTAGTAAATAGCTGTGCCTTAAATGAAGAGCTAACTCAAGCATTAATACTTAAATCTTACCTAACAATTTATAAATCTAATGAGTTTCGAGTGTGGATTTCAAACTCTCCCCTCTCAGGACTGACTGAGAACAATGCCACATAGCATCCTGGATGTATTAGGGTTCTTGCCTCTGCCCGCCCCCCTCTGCACACCCTGCTCTGGAGTTCACTCCACTGGGCTCTGTCGTGGTCATGCAGGGAATTCTTAACTGTGGGCAAGTGCTGAGGGTTTACACTTTAAGTACTGTACCTTTCTCAGCTGTGTTTTCATAGCTCTGGTTGTTCCTTTTACCTACCAGAAACCAAAGAAGTACAACTTCCTCTTGCACTGCATTGAAAGCCTCCCTCAGCTACTAATGAGCACAAAGCTTGTTTAGTTATTTTATGCCTGGGCAAGGTTTTTGCAGTTACATTCATGTATTTATTCTATTCGATATTTATTCTTTTGGCGTCATCCATGTTTTTACTTCAGATTCACCCAGGATGGCCTACTTAATATCACTAGTTATTTTATGTACTAGGTATGTACAGTACAGTCTCCCAAAGAATTCCACCCATTATGCATTGTTTCAGCAGGCAGGAAATCCTGTACCTGGTGGTTCTTGCTGATCTAGCTAAAAGAGACCAAATGATGCATTTTGCTTTCAGGGCCTAGTGCTGGCTTTTGATATTCCCTGGTACTATAAATAGCACTTCAGAACACTCAGGTACAGTGAACAGTTTCTTTGCAGCCCAGTTCCATGTTTGCAGGAAGAAAGTCACATGCTGTCTGGGTCAGTTACAAGTCGCTTGCCCCTTAGTGCCTCAGAAGTTCTAGACAGACCCACCCAGTGTGTTCAGTTGCTCATAAACACAACATTGGCTCTCAGCATACTTTTGTGTCTTTGTTTTGGCTTCTTTCTCTGCCAGGCCAAACTGCTCATTCTTTGAAATTCATCACACGTGAGAAAGCTTTCCCTGAGTCGACTTGGCAGAAATGCCTTCTTGCTCTTCTATAGAATTCTCCCCAGTGTCTGGAGCCGACCTTTCCTACAGGAGTTTCAGCACTACGTTAGAGTCTGTTGTATAAGTACATCTGTTCACACTCTCCTCATGTCCCAAATTGTGAATCCTGAGGCCTGTGACTTCTGTGTCCTTGTATCAGTACACAAGAGTTAGCTATAGGAAATGCTCAGCAGTGTTTGCTGAGTGCACCTAACCAATTGTTTGAATAAGTGAAATTGCATTTGAGTTGATTCCCAGTTTAGTGTCTTTAAAAATATTTCTATGTATAGCTTGGATTTTTCTTTTTTTCCATGGCAGACAATACTATGGGCATGGCCAATTTGATACAGAAAAAAAGTGTCTATTTAAATACACTTTAAGGAGTTAGTTTTTTTTTTAAGTTCAAAGGAATAGGATAGTTTTTTTCCTTACAAACTTCTTGCATCTTTCTTTCTACATGTTCTCTTCACTCTGCCCAGTCTTTGGTCAAATTCCTCCAAAGGATTGGCTGTAAACAATGATTTTTGTGAGCGGTTGTGTGTTCTCTGCAGTGAAAACCCGCCTTGTTTTCTGTTGCTAGGCAACCCCATTCCAGCTGCCCTTGAAGAAATGTGCGGTGGTGGGAAATGGTGGGATTCTGAAGAAGAGTGGCTGTGGCCGTCAAATAGATGAAGCAAATTTTGTCATGCGGTAAGAGACAGCACCCACAGCGTGGCCTCTGCCTTTCCCCCTCCCCCCCCCCCACCAGCCCTGGGGCCTTTAGAAACTAGTCACCTGTGGTTAATCAGTTGTAGCTGCTCTTAAGCTTCCCTTCAAGTTCATATACAAGGCAGTTCAGGAGAAGGGCCAGGGGAGCAAGGGGACCTGCCCCAAGAAAAGTAGGAAGCAGAGAAAGGTTCAGAGGTTATGGACAGACCCCCCCCCCGCCCCCACCAAAGTGGAAGTACACAGATTTTATTTTAGATTACACAGTTGAGCAATTAAAACTTTAAACATTTTTCTGAAGACTTTCTATGAATAGACACTTTGATTTATTCATTTCATTTTATACCACTTTTTCTTTTTCTCAAAAGCATTTTTAGGTAGCAGGTAGGATCTGAAGAGGGATTTGGTCTGTGCCTGATGAGGGAAGCCGGAAGCAGGGGAGGGAATAAATTTTGAGCAGGGAGTGAGCTTGGAATAAAGCACTGAGCAGAGAGGGGATGTGTGCACCACTTCCAGCAGAAAGCAGGAGGCTTCTGCAGCTGCATGTAAAGGAATTGCTGCGACTCCTCCAACCAAGGGTCGAGGCCATCAGACTGGTGGCACTGACCTGTCCCTATTATGCAGTTTTTGACCAGAAGTAAGGATAGCATATGATTGGATTGATACAAGTTGGGGATTGAGTGAATGAAAGGAAAGAAGGACAAGGAGTGACAGCATGTAGGGTCCTGGCTGGACAGTGTGTTCAGTGACACCTTGAAGTCTGGCTGGCTAGGAAGTGGGCTTTAGAGGCATGAAGGAGAGAGGAAGGGAGGAGCCACACAGGGCAGATGCTGGCGTCCTCCAGATCCTGCCAAGGGTGCGCGGTGAGGATGAGAGGGAGGTGGGATGTAAGAGTTGGAGAATGGCCTGCTGGAGCAGTAATTTTGGAGCTTACCTTCTCTGGGGACACTCAGACATGTTCTGGAAAAGGAAGATATTTGTCACTGAAAATAATGAAGGAAATCAGAGGCCGGAAACCTCATTAAAGGAGGGATGAGGGCTTGGTTTTTGTCTTCATTTTTAAGGATAATAGTGAAAGTCTGAATGGTCTACTATTACAATAGTCTACCTTTTGGTAAGCTACATAAGAGACGGTAAACCAGCTGTGAGCTCTGAGGTAAGCAGATAAGGGGAAACTACAAACCATTTGAGAGTGTTTCAGGGGAAGGCACATACATGGGGGAGGACCAGGTTTCCTCTCAGAGAGTTGGGCTTCTTTTTGTAAAGATCTTACTTATTTTTAGAGAGAAGGAAAGAGAAGGAGAAAAAGAGGTAGAGAAACACTGATGTGAGAGAGAAACATCCATCAGTGGCCTCTCACCTGTGCCCCAGTTGAGGATTGAACCCCAAACCCAGGCATATGCCCTGCCCCAGAATCAAACCCACAACCTTTTTCTTTACAGGACAATGCTTAACCAAGTGAATTACACCAATCAGGGCAAGAGTTGGGTTTCTCGAGATATTTCTAATCTCACTGGTGAAGCCTGCAGCAGAATGGGGGGATCTTTTTACATGAGGAGATGTCCTGCCATAGTTTTTCCAGTGTAGGACAGCATTTTCCTCTCCATTGCAGCCATTATTATTATTGGCAGTATATGCAAACAATAGAAAAATGGAGAAGATAAAAATATAATTTTGTTTATTCAAGTCAATATAACTTCTACTTATTGAGTACCTACACTGTATTAGGCCTTAGCCAGACCTGGAAATGGCGTGGAGAACAATTCTGTCACGGGCTCAAAGTCCGGAGGTGTGGTAGTGCTGTGATGGTGTAATTCAGAGACAGACTGTAGCAGGAGTGGGGAGCATAGCTGGGCCTTTCTGAGGAAAAGTAGTGTCTGGGACCAGCTATTCCACCCTGGGCACAGGAACAGCCTTTTGCAAGGCTTTAATGTGGGAGAGACACCAAGGGCCGACACAGTATTGTGAGTCATAGGAATGGTGCGAGGTGGGACTGGAGACGTATGTAAGCTATAGGAGCAGAAACAGTCTCCTGGAGAGGACAGACAGAAGAACAGAGACCCTGGGGCAAATTCAGGTGCTCACTCCAATATGTTGGCATTAGGCAGAGGCTAGGAAGCCAGCAAAGAAAGAGGGTGGGAGGGCAGGCCCTGGCCACAAGCCCGCTCTGTAATCCACAGCAAGTCATTTTACCTCTGCTGGGGCTCAGCTTTCTAAGGGACTTGAGGAGATGGGAGCAGACAATTCTTCAAGCCTTTCCACTGTAGAAACTCTGATTCTATCTGGGATTGTATGAATACTATGTCATTGTAACACAGTTAATGTAGTCTAGTTTAAACTTTCAAATGGCTCTTGATTATAAATTCATTTGCTCTTTCCAAAAGTTATGTAAGGAAAAAGGATTGGATATTCTGCTCATAGATTCAGGGACATTAAGTGACTTCAAGAGGTCTCAATGCAATGCAGAAGGAGGCAGTACAATAAATGTCTTTTTACATTGGGTTGGCTAAAATGTTCATTTGTTTTTTTCTGTAAGATGGTTCTAGCAATGCTTAATTGTCTTTAACTTCATTCAAAATAATGAAGTTATTGTGACAGCTTTCATATCAATGTGTATTTAAAAAATCAAAATTGGTGAATTTTTGTGTAGCCATTTTAAGATTGAAGATAGAAGAAAATATGCAACATTTTCAGCATATTATGCTTTATTATTTTTTCTGAAATGCAGAATAAGATTTGCACAGTGTATGGAGAAGATGCTGTGACTGATCGAACATGTCAGAAGTGGCTTGTGAAGTTTTGTGCTGGAGGTCTCTTACTGGATGATGCTCCATGCTTGTGTAGACCAGCTGAAGTTGATAGTGATCAAATCTAGGCATTGAGAACAATCAACATTATACCACGTGGGAGATAACTGACATACTAAAAATATCCCAGTCAATAAAGTTATTGGTGAAAGTGAAAAATGTCATTTATTTTATGGAAAACAACATACGGACTTTTGGCCAACTCAGTATTATTGCTGAGTGCATGTGTGTGTGTCACTACATTTAGGAAGATGGATATTTTAAAGGTAAAATGTGGAAGACTAGGCCTAAGCATCTTAGGAGCTTATCTTGTGGGCCATATTTGTTGTAAACACAGCAGACTCAGTTTGAGTTGTATCCAGTCTGGTGTTGATATATTCAAGTTCAGAGTCAAGGAGCCCCTGTGATTAGAGTGCCAGCACAGTGGTAAGTATGAAGTTCAGAGACAGCTGAGGGCACTGAGGATTGGAAAGAGTTCGCAGAAGACAGCATCACAACTAGAGCTATGTGTGCCTGTGATTTCATTTCAAGGCTGATGCTATTTGCATGACCCATTTGAATTTTTAAAAAGCCTCATTTATGGTTTACAATATGGAAGTAATTAAATGTTGTTACATTGTTTAAAAATTATTTTTAAATGGACCATCTATGGATCTATTTATAAATGGCTGCTTAATACACATTTTGGGGGACCCTTAGAAAATTGAGACAGTAACATACCTTCAAAATTCATCATTTCATGAATGAACATGACTAGAAACACACTGTGTGTCTGGCTCTAGGCTATAGGGTGTGAGGACAGCTGCAGTCCCAGCCAGAGGCTTGTCTCCGCTCAGCGATGTACCATAGTGGTGCTCAAAACGCCTTTTGGGACAAGAGTGTAACAATGCCATAATTGTCTTTGCTTATACATTTTCTTTTTTTTTAATTTAAAAACTTCTCTTTATTTTTTAAAGTTATTTTTATTGAGGTATAATTAACATATTAGTTTTAGGTATATAACCTAATGCTTCAATATTTGTATATATTACAAAATGATCATCACAGTAAGTCTAGTTAAACATTCATTACCTCATTTTTTCCACCACTCCCACCCACTCCAGCCATCCCCACCTCCCACTCTTGATCCTACCCACCTTTATGCAGATTCAAATACATCTTCTAATGCTAAAAATCAGTTTGCGATTTTTCAAAGTAAATGCTTGCTCTATAACTAATACCAAAGCTTTAAAAATAATATTGCAGAATAAAATTTATCTAGAAGGTCTGTCTGCAAGAGAGAGATAAGAGTGAGTGCTTCTTAGAGAGGAATTGGGTGTCTCGGGAATACGAATTAGAGCAACATCATTTTGGTGCCTTTGAATTATGCCAAAGTATACGTTTTGCATAGTTAAGTAAACATAAAACTTAAAAAGTAACTTTATGCTTTTTTTTCTATTTAAAGATTCCTCTCCATCAAGCCTATTCTCCACCATTCCCACACCCTGGTTCAAAGAATATTTCATTTTTGATCACTTCTGTGATTAATCTCTTAGAATCATGAGCACAGCTACTAAGACATTGTAACCACTGATGTCTGTTAACTGTGCCAACAAGCAGCAATGCAAAATGTGAAGCACTTTCATGCAATTATGCCTTATTAGAAACCATTTGACTGTATTAAATATGCCTTTATGTAAATCTGTGTAATTATCAATTTAGGAGTTGAGGAGCTAAAATTATAGTGTGCTTTTTCTAAGAAAAGAGTTACAGGGGTGTGTTACAGACATTTGTACTTGAAGAGAAAGTTTACCCAGGGAATTTAGAGCAGATATTCACACCGAAATATAATTTCATTATTTTACAGAAAAGCATTTGTAAAATATTGTCTTTCTTGTTTTAAGGATTTCCCTCTGCTGTAGGATTTGGCAGTCAATGTCTGCAAGTTTTTCTTGAGCTTTTACTCTGTGGTGGGAGGTGTAAGGAACCTAGATACGTGAACCATGGTTCCACCTACAAGGAACACAGAGAAAAACAAAGCATTTTCTTCATTTAATAATGGCAGAGCAGGTAGCCAGCATTCCTTAGCAACATTCGGAGTTTGTAGTTTTAACATAAACAGGTTGATTCTCAAATGTCATGAAGGACCACAAAGATCAGAGCTGCTTCAGAGGCAAATCTCCAAACTTTAGGATGAGTTTGATCCTGGAAGTTATCTGCATGTTTGCAAAGATCAGTGAAGTCACAAGACCTCAGTCAGCACCCTGGCCTGCCGGCTGAGCCTGGTTGTTAATGCCTAAGCTCACTCCCTCCTAAGAGTCCTCAGAAGCCCCATGGGGTATGGTGTGCCCACTAGCGGGAGATTCCTCAAGAGTAGGCTGTGCGATTTGGCTTCCCCTGGGCTCCCCACCATGCCTATTGTGTTTATTGTCTAACCACACAGCAAAATTCACTGACTCGCTGACTCTCTGTGGGTAGCTGCCAGAAGAACCAGTATCTCATTACCAAAGAGCAGATGAAAAGAAGATTCCAAATCCTCTGGGACAGGTTTCCACCTAGGATGCCCTGAGGCGGTAGGAGTCACAGGGTGAGTGAGAGACAGCAGCAGGGAACTGGAGCTGATCAGCTGAGCGGGTGCCCAGGCAATTGTATCTCGGGAAAAATGTGCAGGAAAAAATGTATTCGTTGGAGAACTGCAGAGATGTTAACATTTGTAAGATCTCTTTACTTACAAATAAACAGTGCTTTAGGTTGTTGAAGTAATAAAAAGTGAGCAATGTGACCTGATTTAGTAGAAGTCAGGTGGAGAGGAGAAATTAGGACACAGAAATAAAATAAAAACTAATGGAAACTATAGAAACATTTGAGGTTGTCATACAGAATAGATGCATAATTACATTTATATGCTACTTCTGGTATGTGACATTCTTGAGCTTTTACTATGTGTAAGACATCAAAGTAGGGACTGTTTACACATTTCTTCCTTTAATCTTCACAACCTTATTAGAAAGGCAAAGTCATTATCTTCATTTTGTGTAATAGGGAAACTGAGACCAGACAGATTAATTAACTTGTCTGATTTCCCACTGGCAGACAAGCCATGAGATTTGGATTTGCAGTTGCCATTTTTCCCATTGTAAACATTCATAAGACGTTGTGACCAAGGAAAGCAACCGAGGAGAGAGTGGTGTGTGTGTGTGTGTGTGTGTGTATGTGAGAGAGAGAGAGAGAGAGGGGGGGAGAGGCAGCTATTTCTCTCACCAGGAAAGCATCACCTACACTCTTTCCTTTGGCTGGACCAGGATGGTGGAGAATCATTGCATTGCTCCAGATGACATAACATCATGACTTCAGCAGTAATCAACCCATACACCAGTCTTGTCCACAAAAGTGGGACACGCATTGATTTAGTACATTATACTGGTACATTCAAGGCAGAGTTTGTTCTGAATGTACTATTATAGTTCAGAACTTGGGAAAAGAAGGAAAAACACAAACAAACACAATTCCCCTCTGTCGCCTGAGGTGGGTAGGTCTGCAGGGAGCAGTGCAGGTCCTTTGTCCCCCAGTGTACCACACCCTCCTGAGCTCTAATTTCAAGTCGCATACTTCCTGTCCTCCCACCTCAAAAATATTCTGAATGGAGTAAATTCGTTCTAAATACACCTTTTTCCTTTCATAGACCATTTCCTTCTCTGGCTGATGTTTGCTTTTATTTGTGAATTGTGCTAGTCTTAGAAAAATTCTCATTGGTTATGATTGCTGATGATTTGAAAGTAGGAAAATCATTCTCAAATGCTGGTTCTTGTTTCTCTAGATGCAATCTTCCTCCCTTGTCAAGTGAATACACTAAAGATGTTGGGTCCAAAAGTCATCTCGTGACAGCTAACCCCAGCATAATTCGGCAAAGGTAAGCATTTGTGACCTCTATTGGTGAGGAGCTAAAGAGGAAGCTTTGTGAAGTATGTAGCATCATAAAGGCAGTGAGCATTACTCAGTTTGGGAAACAAAGAAGAAAACCATCTGGATAGGCAGGAAGGATGAAGAAGGAAATTGTAAATAAACTAGGCAGCATTGTGGAAATCCAAACACTATTTTGCACTTCAGCTGGGATTCTGTTTCTTGCCTTCAGAGATGGTAGAAATAACGTGTGGATCCATTGTTTTGCTCAAAGAAGCAACACAATATCCTGCTCACTCAATACTACTACTTTCCAGTTTGTTGGTTTCAGTGCAACTCATTGATTGACATTGATTGTTAAACTGAGTTAATATCAGATTTATTAAGAATAAGAACAAAGAAATGACAAATCTGCATATGCATGCGTGAAAATAACAGTATTGTCAGAATGTTGTTAGTATGATGATATTATATTACATTATATCCAATCATATTTAGGAAAGCAGATGGAAAATTCTTGCTCTAGTACTGATTCCATAAATGTTGGCAGCTGCTGTGGGAGCTTCTGCAGGTCAGTCTCTAGTTGATGAAGTTCATCAGTCAGCTGTGGAGAATGAGTCAGTCTCTGCAAAGATGATTCAGACGTTGCCTTCAGACTCTCTTGAGTAGCTAGCAAGTAAGAGTGAATACAAATACACCCTTCCAAAATGTTCCATTTACATTCTCTTTAGTCATGGATAAGACTGGCTGTTTCCTAATCCTGAAAACATTATGTACTATTAATCTTTTAAATTTGTGTTAGTTTGTTGGGTGAAAAATTGCACAGTATTTACTTCTGTATTTTTTTCTGAATACCAGAAGGGTTGAGTGGGTATTGACTACTTGTGCTTCTGTGAATTGCCTGTTTATATTTCTTGTTCATTTTATGCTTTAAAATGTTTTCCTGTTGATTTCTGGAACTGTTTATATTATAGATATTGTCTTTGTTATATATGTAACAAATATTTTCTTCTAGTCTCACATGTTTTTTAACTTATGTATTATGAAAATTTAACATTGTTGATGCAGTGAAATTTGTTTCATTTTTCTTTATGGCTTCTTTTTATTAAAAAATCTTTTTCTGGACAATCTTATTCACATCCCCTTCAATGAGAAAAAAATTATACTATATTATCTATATTATACTATATTATCTTATTATACTATATTATCTAGTACCTTTATAGTTTCATTTTTATATTTAAGAAATTTAGTCCATGTGTATGTTTTTATCTTTATAACAATAATTTTATTGTTTTCAACAAAAACATATGTTCATTATTGAATTTAAAATGAGAGAGAAAAGTACAAAGAAGGTAAACAAAAATATTACCCCAAACCTCACTATTTGAAAATAATGGTAATTAACAATAGGTAAACTTTTCCCAGGTATTTCATATGTTCTCAGAACTTTGAAGCTATTGTTTCACTATCTTCTTAGATTCCAGTGTTGCCAATTAGAAGTCTAAAATGAATCTGTTTATTTTTTGTTTGAGGGGAAACCTTTCCTCTCCCCACTGTTACCTTTTAAAGCTTTCTTTTTTGTTATTTAAATTCAGATAGTTTACCAACATATTATCTTAGAAAGAGTCCTTTTAAAATTAATGTTGCTTAGCACAGTAATGAGAGGTTCTTTCACTTGGAAGACTCGAGGGCTTAGTGGTGAGGATTCTGTACTCTAACGCAGGAAGACTTGGGTTTTACTCCCTGCTATCCCACTTATGAGCTGCATGAACTTGGCTAAGTTACTTAACACTGTCTCCTTCAGTTTCTTCACCTGTAAAGCAGGATAATAATATGTTTATTATAGGGAGTTACACTACATATGTATGTAGGTGCGGATATATGTATGTGTGTATATATCTCCATATATCAAAATTATACATAGTGCTTAGCATAGTGCCTGGTGTACTGTAAGCACCAGATAAGTGTTAGCTATCATTATTATTATTATTTTTTATCTCTGAACACTCTCTCCCTTATGTGTGCTACATGCCTTTGAGTCAGCTTCGACTCCTGGCGACCTTATGAATGAGTGATATCCACAAGGTCTTGTCCTCAACAGCCCTGCTCAGCTCCTATAGATTCATAATTGGTCTTCCTCTTGTCATCCTGCCTTGTATTTTTCCTGACATTGTTTTCTTTTCTTAAGAAATCTGCCCCCTCATGATGTCCCTGCAGTAGGACAGATTTGACAGTCTCTCTCTTATATGTCTGATTATTTCCTCTTAGTCACTGAAGTTGCTCTTTCTTTCTAGTCTTCGTATTATATGGATATTAGAACTTCTAGATTGATTATCCAAGGCTTCTAACTCTTATAGTTATGTGTGTGTATGGTATGTTTTATATTCCAAAAATAACCCCTTTCAACTCCCTAAATCATATTCCAGCTGTGTCCATTCTGCTATATAGAATACCATTTTCATTTTTTAAAATCATGCTTTCATTTTCTGTGAGTCTAATTATTTCATTTTAAAGCTCCATATTTTTTTGTGGATGTGATGTCCTCTTAAGTTTTACCAAGAGTATTAATGGACTTAAAAGTTTTGTAGTTTTGCTTATTTCTGTGTTCCTTTTTTATTTCCTTTATTTTTTAATTTAATGCTACATATATTATTTGACTTTTTTAAATTTGAATTTTAGTTTTCTGTTCATTTTTGTATGATGTCCATTTGCCATCAGTGAATATATGTATATTACTTTCAAAATAAATACTTCACTTTTAAAATGTCACTGAAAACCGAAAATGCCATTCAAATTTGTGAGTAAATAAATTAAATGGATGACCAAAGATTAGATCGATGCTTAATTTGTAGGGTGGCTTGTTTTAGATGTAGCTAATGTAGAATGAGAAAACAAAACATCATTCTGTATAGTTTAACTATTAACTCTCACTCAGTTCTTGTATGTATGTATTTATTTATTTATTTGCTATTTTATGGGAGTCCAATTAGGGAGATGGCAGAAAAATCACCAATGATGATGGTGTCTCTTTTAATTTAATTAAGTGGTTTGGTGTTCTGGGAACCCTAAGAATGTGCAATTTTTAAATTTGAGGTGTGTTTTTCTCAGGTTAAAGGGAATGAACAAAAGGGCAAGGAAACTTACAGAAATGTTTTTGATTATTAAAAGTGTTTTGTTGTTAAATAATTACAGATACACAGGAAGTTACCACACACACACGGAAAAAAAACATAAAAAGAGGCTATGTACTCTTTATCCAGTTTCACCCAATGAAGACATATTGTATAACAGTAGTATAATACTTTAACTATTATTTTAACTTGGGAATAACTGTTAAGAAGGAGTAAAAGTTCTTGTACAGAAAAATGAGACATTCAAGGGCAAAATATTTTCTTTTCCCACCTGAACATGTGGAGTTGTTGGTAAGATTTTAAAAGGACGGTGAAAATATTTAGAGTAAGATTTCATGCAAGATGAGATAGAGGTTGTAATTGTATTTTTGAGGAAAATTACAAAAACTACAGGAGAAAGGAAAGGGTAAAAAATTAAATACTTAAGAGGAAAAGTAAACCTGTTGGTTAAGACTTACATTCAACATAAACAGTTAATACAAGATATGCAAGAATCATTTGATTAATATTGGTCAACATTTAGTCAACATGTCTACATGCCAGGTTATGTGCTATTTACATACATTGCCACATTTAACCCTCAAAACATTTGTAATAGGTAGACTTTTAATGTGTGTATTTACAGAAAAGGGAAATGTGATGTGGGAAGGTAGTCACCTGCTCATACTCTCAGCTGCTGGTAATCACTCCGGGACTCCACCGAGACGAGGCTCAGTCTAAAGTCCATGCTCTTAGTCAGCAACCACCACACTGGGTGATCTTTCCTGGTGACCCACGTATTGTACAAGGAGACCATGGAGTTTTCAGAAGGGATAAGTTATTTTGGGAAAGTGAAAGAAAAAATTTTTTTACTTAAAAAATGTATTCAATGTAGTAAGGTTTTTGGATTCAAAACCAAAATGTACATAGCCATTCCATTTTGTGAAATAAGGAAATAACATACCATTTACAACAGCATCAAGTAATGTGATGTAGTTAACAACTGAACAAAAAGCAAGCCCTCTATAGAAAAATTAGGGAATTTTATTGAGACAGTTCAGACAACCCTACTAAATTTACTGATGTACCATGTCCTGACCAAGAGACCTGGGATTGTAAAGGCATCAGTTCTTCCAAAATTGATCTATAGGAAATTCCAGTAAAAACCCCAATAGTGATATATGTGTATAACTTGACGAGTGGATTCTAAAATTTATGTAGAAATGCAGAGCCAAGATATCAAAGAAACTCTTTTGAATAAAAAATGGTTGGAGGAGATGCTTTACCAGATATTATAATACTTATATATAGTTATTATAATTAAGACAATGTGGTATTGGTACAGGGGTAAACAAACTGACCAGTTAAACAGAATAGGGCCCCACAATCAGATCTATATACGTAGAGACTCTTAACATATGACAGAGGTAATATTGCAAATCAGTGAGAAAAGGGCAAACTTTAAATAATGATGTTGAGGCAGGTAGGTATCTATACGGGAAAAAATGAAATTACACCTCCACCTTGTACCTTATACCAAACATTGCTTCCAGAGAGTTAAGACCTAAATTTGAAAAGCAAATCAAGAAATATTATAGAAAATAGCACAGGCCTTGTGATTTGTTAAATAACACCAATCGAAAGGGAAAAGGCTGATAAGTTTGATCTATTAAAATTAGGAACTTGTATTCATAAAAAGACATGCTAAAAGTAGAGGGAATACAAGCACATTGTAAAAAGAAGACAACTAACAAAGGCTGCATTCAGAATATGTGAATAGCTCTTTCATATTTAATTTAGAAGGAAATTAATATGAAAAACAAATTCCACTAGGAAAAATAAGTCAGAATTGAAGCAGACTTCAAAGCACAAGTCCAAATAGCCAGTAAATGAATGA